CCCCCCCCCCCCCCCCCCCGCTTTTCTAACAGATCTGCTCACTCCCACCCTTAGGAACTTCGACACTCACTCCTCCACGTCCTCGCAATATCAATCACAACTTTCTAACAACGTACTCATCAGACCTCCCTCACCGACTCTGTCGTCCGAGCCTGTGCAACCGATTCTGTCGTCTGAGTCTGACAATCCTCTTCCCTCTTTCGACACCTCGCCAACATACCCACTCTTCTTCACCCTCGTATTCTTGCTCCATCGTTCTAGTTGTCACATAGTTCTCTCTCTCTCTCTCTCTCTCTCTCTGACATACCTACTAACAGACGATGCCTGCCCAAGTCCCCAACGGATTATTCATTCTTTTCGTTTCTTCCTCGATGATTTCTTGATCAAGCGAATCACCATTATTTTGGTGGCCACTAAATCCCTTGTAGGGATGCGTATAGAGATCTCATGCAGGCTTGGTGAAGATCACGCTCACGTTCCGTCACGCGCATGCATGGGGTAATACAGGTCTGCTAGAGGAGAGTTAACACCATTGGCCCCTGATCTTACGAAATACAGATTGTCGAGACGATAAAGTTAGCATGGATGCTCTCTCTCTCTCTCTCTCTCTCTCTCTCTCTCTCTCTCTCTCTCTCTCTCTCTCTCTCTCGCGTGCGCGCGCGCGCCCCCCCCTTTGCATCCGTTGTCCTCCTCCGACTTATTCCTATGTGTTCCTCCTCCCTTCTCTCTCGTGTCACTTATCACTCACAACTTAGAAAAGCAAATAAAGGAAGAGAAGGCAAATACACGGATACAAGACAAAAATGTGGCGGAGGGGAGCTTTGTATGCGTGTGTGTGTGTGTGTGTGTCGGACAAGTGTATTAAATTTTGCAAATAAGAAAATGACTCTTCAGAATTGAGGGGTTTAGGGAAAGACAGCAGAAGAAGCCCATGGTTTCGGGTTTAGGAAAAAACATCAAAAGAGAGGCCAGCTAGCCGCAACAAGGTTCCCAACCCAGGTCCACACCCTGACTCAGGCACGGACCGTCTCTTCTATATTCCTTTTTGTAATGAGAAGTCTTGTGTCAGCACCTGCAACAAGGTTCCCCACTCAGGCTCAGACCCTGGCTGCAGGTCATAACCTTGATAAAAAATTAGACCCGGATCTAAAGCCTCAACAAGTATGGTTACATGTGCAAGCCCTATAAGCGCATGTTTAACAAGTGTTACAGCGACAAGAACTGCAAGTGCAATGCGAACTGTTGTGCCAGCACCTGCAACAAGGTTCCCAACTGAAGGGCGGACCCTATCTCAGGCCCGGGCACCGGCTTAGACCCTGATCAAAAAAGTCCAAGCCCACATGTAAAGCCTCATCCTAGACCTTGCCTTAGACCTAAACTTATAGGCCCGTACCCTGGCTCAAACACAAACCCTGACTTCAACTCTTATCTTTATGGAAAGTGCACGCCCAAACTATAACCCTTATGCAAAGCCAAGAGACTAACCCTAATACAGACCCTGAGCCTAATTATGTAAAGCCAAGGCCATGACTTAGACCCTGACCCCCTGACCCTATTGCCAAGGCTAGACCCAGACCTAAACCCTTAAGCAAAACCCTTATTCAATACCCAGTCTTATACTATATGTGAAGTCGAACTTTGATCCCTGTTGCAAAGTCCAAGCCAAGAGGCCTTTTTTTTAAGTGCTTGAAATAATTTTGATTCCTTTGACTTCCTCTAAGCATTTGCAGAAGCATATCAAACAAAATTTACACGTGCATAACAAGAACTTCATGAAACATAACTAAAATAAAAATGGCTCATAACATGCAAACATACTAACAAAATATCTTCCGAATGAGGGGTAGCGGACTGGATTTTTTCAATTTTTTTATTTTTTCCCAGGGCCCTTCCTTGTTGGACAGTTGGGCTGTCCAATCAAACAAGGTGACCCAGGCGGCCGGCTGGTAGCCCAGTTTTTCGATTGTTTTTTTTTTTTTTTTTTGAGGGGGAAAGGATGAAGAGCGGCGCCAATGTTATGAAGACAGTGAATCAATCAATTAATTAATCAAAGGAGTTGATTGATATTCAACTCGAGCGTGATCTTTGGTGGTTTCAAAACAACGAATGCCAACCATTTGTTCACAGTTTTGATTTTACCCTTTGTTAACTGTTAAAAATGAAGGTCAGCTGGAAAACAAAGCTAGGAAGTTAAATGTGTTGATTATTACCAGATGATGTTTGTCACATTGATGCTCAACGCTGTAAGAACATCTGCACAAGATTATACTTGATAAATCATTAACAATCTTGAGGACATGTAGTGAAAAACACAGTAAAATGGAGCAAAAAAGAAAACTTCGTTGTTAAGAAATTGTAATAGCGTAATAAGCATCGTGGAAGAAGTTTATTATATCATTCTCGCTTTGTCTCTCTCTGTGTCTCTCTCTCTCACACACACACAGACGCACACACACACACACACACACACACACACACACACACACCTACATACACACGCACACAAAAAGGGCGGTACTATGGTAAATCAACTTTGTGTTGTTTTACATGCGTTTAAATGTACTTAATGTATGATGGGAGTAAACACTTCAAAATTATAGCGCAGAGAACTCTGTCACACTGCATTTTATCGTTCTCTCTGAACATACATACAAACGGATTTATGACGTTAACAATTCGTAGTATTTTCAAGTCATATTTTAGCTGCCCATAGTATGCTACCTGAGCCTGCCTCCCATAACCCCTGATAGCTCCACAACCACTTTGTTCGACGACTTCAGAGTGGTTCAACAATTCGGATTGCATAGATGGGAGCCTCTAAAACCGCTTGCAGAGTGTTCAGCCACTTCAGGTTGGTTCAAAGATTTGAGATTGCATAGATGGGCGCCTCTGAAATCCGTTTCAGAGTGTTCAGCTACTTCAGACTGTTCAAAATTCCATATTGCACAGATAGGAACCTTTGAAACCAGTTTTGAAAATCCTCAGCCACTTCAGGCTGGTGCGGTGATTTCATATCAAAGTTTCAGTTCAGTCACTTCAGCCTGGTTCAATGATTTCGGATTGCATAGATGGGAGCCTTTGAACTCCATTTCAGAGTGTTCAACCACTTTAGGCTGGTGCAATGATCTCAAATCAGTGATTTAAGTAAGCACTTAAAAATTATAGCGAAGAGAACTGTGTCACACTGTATTTTATCGTTCTCTCTGAACACACATACAAACAGATTTATGAGTTGAATCCAAATGTTGCCCTTGCTTCATAGCTGAAGGTCTATGTTCTCCTCAGTATTAGACAGGAAGGATTGCTCGTACAAGTTAAGAGAATTACCGTAGGCACGAGAAAATTTGATTTAAGGTATTACAATTTTTTACTTTTTTCTCATTTTTCAATTTTATTTTGCTACGAATTGCCTCTAAATGTTTTTGAGGGTCCCCAAGTGCTACACAACTTCCCGCATTTTTTATTTTTGTTTTACTTCGCCGATTTAAAAAAAAACAAGTTTTCCAAGATCCCAGACAACACTCCCACTAGACATCTAACGAAGAACTCCCGGCCAGAACATCCTGTCATCGAACAACTTGCAGTCTAAAAAAATATAAATTAAATAGCTACGCTACCAGCCGGGCCGCCCGGGTCACAGTGTTTGCAAGGGCAACCCGACTGTGCAAAGACCAATAAAAGGTTCCAGAAAAAATAACAAAAAAAATCGTGAAAAAAAGTATGATATGCCAAAACACATTAACTTAACAACTTTCGTCACAGGGTCACATCAAAACTTCCTGCAAAATTTTAAACAGAAAATAAACTTCTTTTGTAATTTTTTTTTTTGGCGGCAGGAAAAATGTTCTCGGGCCATTATGGTAGCCTAGTTAAATAAAATATAAAAAAAGTAAAAATATTTTTAAAAAAAATCAACAGCAAAGATGCACTTTTCTATGGAAATTCTTGGAAATATCATTTGAGAGTAAACTTGAGGAAGGAAAATTTTAATGGTCTAAAACATAGCCCAGAAAATCGGTGGACTGAAGTTTGCTTCAAGCGATATTTCCAAAATGTTGGTAGCCTTTGACAACACACATAAATTTTTCCAATATTAATTAATCAAAAATAAATTTTGACCTGCATTAACAATAAATGGGGAAAAGGGCAGAAAACATATAGTCTATGTCTGGAACACAAAAAGAAAGGAGTGATTGAGGGAAATCTCTTCATATGAACAAACAAAAAGGAGAAAGGACGATGAACATGAAGTCGCTCACTCTTCTTTCCCCTTGAACCTCCACTATATTGAAATTGAGACAAAAATCAAAAGAGGATGTTAAGTCATAATGAGGAACAACCAAACAACACAGAACACAAATGAAATGGTGACTCTGGAGAGTTAGCCAGACTGGCAAAGTCACTCTAAACTGAGAAAATTTGAAACACACTAAAGCTGACATGTGAGAGTTAGCCAGACTAGCAAAACTGCTACACAATATACCCCATCTAATAATTTCACTAGCTCTCTCTCTCTCTACATCGAAACTTCAGTGGTTATATCTTCCTCATAGTTCTGGAATCAAACATAGTATTCATGAAATACAAACCGACAATGACAATTTCTAGTAGTTCTCCCTCTGATAGTCCTAGCAACATTGATTATCATGTCCTTCATCATTTTTCTTACAACAACGAAAACCTCATCCATCCAATCATTGTAGAAAAAATCAGAGCCAGCATATAGAGTGACCTGACAGTCAAAACCTCCCCAACTGACTGCCCGCTTTCGCATCGCACAGGCATGAATCTCCGCTAATATAACATTATTAACTTCTACATTCAAGAAAGAGTTTGCTGTAAGGATTTCACCCCCTTCCATGATACTAGCCAACTGATCATTTCTGGTGTCAACGTGACGGTTGGATTCACTTGATTATGTTGGGCTCTCCAATTTTCTTTGCGAATAAGCTTAACTACCCGTCCATCATCTGAATAGAGAGGATTGAAACGACACGGGGGATGATCAACTTTGACCACTTTAGACACAGACATACTTGCCGCGTCCTTGTTGTAAGAGGTCAACCACAACCCTGCAAATAGAAGTCCGGAGCATCGTGACAAACCACCAACTCAAGCACAAACCTGCGAAAAGGAATTCACAAAACATTGTCAAACAAATGGGAATAACAGTCACAGAATGCCTGATACAAATTATGTGAGTTGGGCATCGACATAAGAGTATGAGACATTCTGTTTTTCTCGAGCATACATTTTAAAACCTAATTTGAAATAAAATGAATCTTAGGAAGAAAGGTGTGTCACAGTGTGTGTTTTTCATTTTTTTGTTAAAGATCAATCCTAGTGCTAACTCTCGTGCTGCTCACCAGCAGCCTTGTGTTGAACTGAATCCTCTAACTTGCATATCTCTTGTCCAGGGTAGGTTAGCTAACTAGTGGTGGGCTAGGAGTGGTCTTGTTGATCTGCAGTCATCTTATCAAACCTATGGTGGTTATGAATGCAGGTGCAAACCTGGTCTAGCTGCGTTCGCCAAAGAACAGGCAGCCTGGGTCCCAATTGGATATCCAATTTTACCTGCTGATGCAACAGGTGCCTTGAGGCTGATCCAAAAAAGACAAGGGCTGGACCAGGCACTACAGGACGTACAAAACGTCCAAGCCATGCAGACAAAATTATCCTCGTAGCCCAAAACTGTGAAACGAAATCTTTCCAGGCCATGCAGACAAGATTGACTCTGACTCTAACGCTTACTAATTAAAAGTTTGTGCTTAAACCGAAGACCTTATCCAAAGACCTGGACCCTGACTTAAACGCTGACCCCTATGCAAATCACTAGCCTAGATATGGACTCAGACATAGATCCTGATTTACATCTTGAACCTTATGCAAAGGGTAGGCCTATACCCTGAGATCTGTACATCGACCCGGGCCCAAATCCTATTGGCCATGATCAAACACTCAGAATGTCGCCAGGAGTTAGCAATACCTCTGACAAAACTGATTGGCTTTCGTCACACCGACCTTCCAGTCCTATCAGACTGTAGGTCCGAAACCTAACAAGAATGACAGTAAGTCTGACGAACTAATCTATCACATCCATAAAACCCATTCTACATACTCGTCCAGTTTGAACCTGCACTGGTTCAGCGTTGCAGGATCCGTCCTGCCAAAGAGACAATGGTATAATTTTTTTTTCATTTATGTGTTTTAATGCCTAACATTTGTATATATCTAATTCCAACAACTTTTTTTTTGTTTTTTTTTTTGCGCACTTTTTTTTTGCCTGATGCTGCCAGGGGTCCCTAGGCCATAACATGTCGATTCGTCAAGTTTGGGTTTCTCATTTATGATTTTCTGACTTGTTGGTGGAATAGGAACTAGACTGTTCGCACGTGTTCGAACCACAATGCATACGGAGCCGGGTCCAAAGGACGTGTTCGGACGTGTTCGATCCACCAATACGTGTGCATGAAGCTTCACCACGTAGTGGTGGTTTAAAGGTTAAAAAAAAAAAAAAAAAAAGCTTATATTTCTGTTCTGGTTCCTGCATAGCAACATAGTCTGCGATGAATGTGATCTAATATCAGGAGCAGCATAGGGGCAAGGAAGGTAGAACGGAAGGGAGAAGTGAAGGATGGAGGGAACGGAAGGATGTGAAGGATGGAGGAGAATAATCTACAGAGGAAAAGGAAAGAGAACGAGAGGAATTTTTTTTAAAAAATGAGAGAGAACAAAGAGAAGTTAGAAAGATAAAGAGAGAGCTGAAAAGAAACCGAAGAGAAGAAGAGAGCGGAAATCCAGAAGAAAGGGGCTGCAAAAAAAAAGGTTGCGGGAATGTAGAGAAGGTGAGGTGACCATCTACGATCTTCGAGCAAAAATCATCTATTCCTTATGGAAGGAGAAGGTGCAGAGTTGAGACGTGATACCCATAGACAAAACGAATAGGACAATCACGAAGCTTAGCCGCATAGCACTTAGAAGAATCCATCTCTCTCTCTCTCTCTCTTACCTGGCTACCTCCACCACAGAACTCCTGCCTCCCCCAACAACACATCCACGCACTCAAGCCCTCAATACTTATGTGTCTGTCGCACTCAAGCCCTAACTTCGGATCTATTCCCAGAGGAATATGACGAGGAAAGTGCATACTACGTTACAATCCAGAGACAAAAGAGAAGCTGAAGGGCAACCTTCACATGTTGAAAATATATAACATGTTTCCTAGATAAGTGGGAAAGCATAGGGAAAATAAATTTTTAAAAAACAGCTAAACATTTCGTAGCTGACAAGTTACGCGGTCGGTAAAAAGCATCGTAGTGGTTACAGTCTTACAGATAGTCTCTCTCTCTCTCTCTCTCTCTCTCTCTCTCTCTCTCTCTCTCTCTCTCTCTCT